CCTCTTCTGTTGCTAGGCTGACTGTTTTAAAAGGAAAGCTCTCATCTGAAATCAAAAGTCAAACCTAATTTTTCCTCCATCCATTAAACCAGCTCTGACGTTGAACCCGTGGGTTTCTGTTAACGGGGATTAGGACGAGAGGAAATGGCCTCAAGTTGTGCCAGGGGAGGTTTAGATTGGATATTTGGAAAAATTTCTTTACTGAGAGGGTGGTCAAGCATTGGCACAGGCTGCCCAGGGAGGTGGTGGAGTCGCCATCACTGGAAGTGTTCAAAAAACGTGTGGATGTGGCGCTTTGGGAGATGGTGTAGGGGGTTGGTGGTGTTGGGTTAACGGTTGGACTTGATCTTGAGATGTTTCTATGATTCTGTCATTAAAACTGGATGTACTTGTGCAGGTACGCACCTTTCCAGTTGCTAATTAGACCCAGCCACAATGCTCCCCTTGCTCTCAGAGATAATTATTAGGAAGTTTTTCAGCTTTTTCCATTCCAGCCTGTCATCTCTACTCCTCTTCTTCAGCTCTCATGCCTCTCGAGTATTTGGAGAAGTTCTCAGACCTGCCTCCCTCCGCACACAGACCTGGCACCGGTCCCATCGCCCCGCTGACTGCCCCAGCTCGGGTGCTGCCCGGAGCTTGGGCAGCACGTGGTGGCATGGTGGCAGCTGCTCCCGGGGGAACCTGTCACCCCTCACCCGGGCACAAGTCCCGCTCTGCTAGCAGCTGCCGAATTTTTAGGCTTCACACCTGGGCTGGCGGTCCTGCTGCCTTTGCACGGGAATGTGTTTTCCACCCAGGCTGGGGTGGGTTGGGGCTTGGCATCTTCGCTGAAGAAAGATGGGGAGGTTTGCAGAGCGTTGGGTGTGGGAGACCACTCCGGTTGTTGTGCTGTGACTGCAGTGGGCCCCAAATTTGGCATTAGTGCTGGAGTAAACCCTCTTTTGTGCCCTGATGAGGTGCGTTACGGTTGACCTTTTGAGTGTTTCTCCAGTGACGGGGAGTTTCGGTGAAGTCGGTGGCCTTGTCAAAGGGCAGTGTGGCTGTTTCCGGCTCCTGAGTCAATCTTCCACTTCTGTTTTTTCCAGGCTTGTCAACCTCCTTCCCCATCGACGGGACCTTTTTCAACAGCTGGTTGGCGCAGTCGGTTCAGATCACCGCCGAGAACATGGCGATGAGCGAGTGGTCCCTCAACAACGCCCACCACGAGGACAGCACCCCCGGCCTCTCCGAGGAGCTCCTCCAGGACGAGGAGACCTTGCTGAGCTTCATGATGGACCATTCCCTCAGGTCCCCGTTTAAGCAGAGCGAGACCACAAAGAAAGTGAAAAGCAAAACGAGAACGAACACTAAGAAAAAGCTGCCCAGGAGCAGCCCCCCTGCCGTGGGTGGGAGCCACCCGGAGGGCTCGGAGCCCTGGACTAACAATGCCAGTGACTTGTCGGATGATGCCACCAAGCCCTTCGCTCCCGATTCCAGACCGAGCAAGTCGGAGAAAGGGGCGGCGAAGCTTCCCAGCGACCGCAAAGGGACGGGCGAGGCGAAAAAGGCGGCCAAGAAGGGCTCTCTCCCGAAAGCCGGCGAGCCTCACCCCCCGGCCGGGGCGAGGGGCT